GCCTAGTAAAAATAGAGCTGTTGTCTTTCCGCCGGAGTGTCACCACGCGTCCGCAGCGGCGCAATGCCGACTAATTAAATGTTCTGAAAGGTAGGTTAATCATGAAAGGGATTTCCTGACACCTATCCACAATCGAGAAATGTGGAAAGTTCTAGAATCTGTTTAGATGACCAATAAGATTAAAAATGTCACGCACGTGAAGAAGCTTTGGGACTCCTAGAGGAGAGGGGATGGGAAGAGAGGAAGCAGCGGGCAGAGAATCCAAAAAGGACTTGCAAAAAGGCACTTACGAGAGACAGACGTAACTTGGCAACGACATCAGCGGTGGACGCAACTGGTCAGCTGGCGTCCAGTTTACCGGCCTATGGAAATCCACCGTCCGTCAGCAGTCGAAACTCGGAATTTATTCTGATCGACGGACTGGTTCGGCCGACATTAATAGAGCAATCAGAGGTGTGCGCAGTTGTCATATCGGCTGTCATACCCACTTTTTAAAAATATTTTCATACTACCATCATGTTTCTCATTATCTGCCAAAACTCATTATTCTCAATTTTTGACAAATATTGAAATATTAATTTAATTTTTAATACAATCTTTTTTTACCGTTTGTTACTAGTTTAAATGATTATTTGAGTGAATATGTACACAACTGTTTTTACTTCTGAAAACCATATTTATGGAATTTGAAATTTGCTGATTCTAATAAAATATGAAATTTCCTTTCTTTGATGGTTTGAACAATTTTGATTGTTTTATACATTTAGAACACTGTCACTTTCTGACATTACTAATGATTAACAATTTTTATGTTGGCAAAGTTTGAAATGTGTATTTAATTGGTATCCCATATGACAGTCCAAACTGTTCATGTTGTGATGTGAGAATTTTGTTTCTATAAGAGATATTACAGAAAATTTGAAACAATCAGATTTTGAAAACTGCTAGCTTTGATTATTTCGCAGATTTTTATGAAAGAAACCATAAATAACATTTTTTTATCCAGTTTCAGGGATCATGTGATACTAACGTTCCAGTGCCAACATTGACGTACTATACAATAACAAAATTTTAGAGAGACAAATTGGGCATTTCAACTAGCCCTCTCTTTTCAAAATTTAATTACACTGTGCTTTTTTTAATAAAACTTTACAATTTGGAAACACATATTATAATTTGGGTTTGACGTAAAAAATGATCATGATAAATGCATTTATAAAAGCTTATTTCCATTTGTAATTATTATTTCTTTAAGAATGCTTACATTATTTCCTGACTGACTCTTTTTGGACCACAAAACTTGTTATTTGGCTAGACTAATTTGAACTTTGTTGAACACAAAGATCTGCAAGTAATAATTAAAAGTTAAATAAAATAACAATAATGTGCATAAATAAAATGGAATTTAATTTGACCTCTTGATCATATTCCATATTCTAATGGAGTAAGAGCTGCATGAAATATTTTTATTACACACGGCTATCTGCTCCTTACAAAATGTTAGTGTGCACACATGTCTGGTTTTTACTAAGTGAACAAATTTACAGCATTCTCAGATGCAAAACTGGTATCTTACTTTTCAGGATCTCTTAGAACTGAGATAACGTAATTAAATTGCGCTTTATTCTAATGTTTCATTTTTTGTGGCCTAGGCAATTATGAGCTATTACTTGTTCATTATGAAAATCTGTGAAAAGATAATGTAAATAATTATTTCAAATACAATATGGAATTTGTAAATATATCCACAAAGTGTTTTTCTTATATTGATTTCTCAAATTTGTTAATTTTCCTGTTTGTGGTTTTCATGCCAGTAAAACATATCAGATTAATGTGATAGAGTTGTATTGTATTAATTTATTCAGACACTTGTTTCACTGGAGTCATTTGCAACTTTTAGCACACAGCTATTAATAAGTAAAGGTTAAAACTAATAAATTAATTTCATTAAATGTAAAAAACTGAAACTTTTATATATTTATGGTTGTGTGCCACAAGTTACAGATGACAAGTTAAACAAGGGACATACAAAGAAATAAATTAACAGCAATTGTATTTAAAAATACTTAATATAATTGAATTTCCTTAATTTTGTTTTGATTTTTGTTGGGTAGGGAAGAGATTTCACTTCTATTAAGTGTTAGAGAAAGTATTTGACAAAATAAGAAAGTATTTCAGATTGAATATTAATGTATCAAATTCTATTCAGAAACTGTTTTTAATGTCAAGTTTCCAAAAACAAAATTAATGGAAGTGGTTTCACATTTTTGCATCATTAAAAAAAAAAAAAAAATGATGTAATAATTTCTGGATTCAAATTTACAATTTAAAGGTACAGGTATAAAACAATTGGAAAAACTCTCCAGGCAAACTTATGGATTCATGCAAATAATTCCATTCTTGGTATAAATATTTTGTGTAGTAACTATGGCAAAAAAATGGGGGTTGTGGAACCACATGCCGAATTTCCGAGAAAGTCATGACAATTAATTGCAAACATTTTCTGTTTCAGGGTACTGGGTAGACAAGGGGACTACCAGAAACAGCAGTGGTTTAGGATCCCACGAAGGTCCTCATTTGGCGTCCATGGTGCGTCAACCACAAAAATAGCTGGGGCAAATTTTACTATTGATTCTGGTAGGGAGAACTGTTTCTCAATGTCCGGCAACCATTCCTTTTTCTCAGTGGCAGAGAAAAAAAAGGGGAATTTTCAGCAGAAAAACTTTTTGTATAAGTAACTTAGAAAAGGACTGTAACTCATGTTGTAGCAAGAATATGTTTTCTGGGTCCTTGAAACTGAAAAATCGAATGACGGCAAAACGTCTGCCAGTGTGTGAACAACACCACTGGCTAAACTGACCAGCTGATTTTCTCCAAAATTGATATTCCCCAATCAATCTGGCTGAGAGTATCACACCCAGATTTTGAAATTGGTATTTCAATTTGTGGGGAGGGTGTACTTTACATAAATCTCCTGGGACATTTTTCAATTAAAAAAAAGCTCCATCGTTTTAAATTTTTGTTGTTGAATAGTGTGACAGGTGTTTAATAGAATAGTGCAGGTCTCCTGTTCATTGAAAAATATGATTTTAGGAAAATTGCAAAAGTTGGAAATGTTTTCGGAGTCTTCCTACAACTAAAAGATGCAAGATAAACATACAGATTCTCTCCATTAATGAAATCTGTTCTTAAAGATAGAATTTTTGGAATAAGGCTACCTAAATTTTACAAACAAAAGTTTGTTTTCATGTTTAACAGCCTACCTATTTCTCTGGATGCAGGCTCCTTACAGGGATGTAATTATTTGTTGTGCATTTTGGAAGGTATTCTTATCTGAAGTTTTATCTTACCTGCTTAAAAAATAGGTGAGCTTTGTAATTATATAAATAAATAAACTTTGCTTTGATATATTAGTAAAGCAAAATTCTTAATTGTTTATGTTATTTACTTATGAAAATGGACACGTAGGTAACAGTATGGCACACTAGTGCTACGTGTTCCCCAAAATGATATGGCATATTTTTATTTTAGAAATACTAATTTTAATGCAAGAACACAGGATGTAAGTAAGCAACATACACGTCAGAATAGAACTTCATAGAAGTAAGATCGACATTCAAAACTATGTAGAAACTTTAGCATCCTACTACTATCGATCCACGAAATAGGCTACAAAATAAAATCTTTGTATTAGCAATATAAATAGCAAAATAAAATCTTTGTCTATATCAAAATTCTACATTCAGAAATACAAAGAGAAGTGGAGTAATTTCTGAGATAATAATCAATAAAGATGATGTGGAAGTGTGTTGAAGAAAACGCTCTGGAGCAATAGGAAAATTTGTTTTTCCTATCACATCAGATATTTCTCCAATTTCTATAGAAGACATTCAGATAATCTTGCTGAACTCTGTGGTTGTTCTAAGGTACAAGCAGACTCTTTATACTTTTGAATTCTTGTTTCTTTACGTGAAATTGATTTGAGCACTGTAAATATCCAATAGGTTTAATATTGCTAAATATTTCATGCCTCACTCTTCCCTATGAAATACCTATTTGTGCCCCCAAATATGTAACAGAGAGACAAAGTAAACTTCATTAATAATAATCTGTGGGTGTAGCTAGGCTAGTGCCACTGGTAGAGTGAGGTTCGAGAGCCTTCCAAGTCGAAGGTCCCAAGTGAGGACACATGCCAGCCCCCAACTAATATTGAAATGGCATTGAGAGGCCCTATTTGGACTTTTCTTTCTGGAAACCCCATCAACACAGTTACACCCCTGATAATAATGTAGTGTGGATATTATGTACCTAATCACATTTCTGTTTGAAAGTAGTACTGCACCAAATAGAAGTTTCTATTCTTTAGAAAACAGATTCTAGTAATGTTCATAATAATATATTAGATAATAGATTCTATTCATTATATTAGTACTTTACATTAAGCCCTTAGAACATTTTCAAATTTTTATTAGAGACCTACATGGCTGCTAATTGTTTTGTTCAATTTTTCTTCTAATGGATGAAAAACTGTTAAAAATGTTACAGATTCAATATCCATTAAAGTCTCTGAATTTGTGAGACTTACAAATGTTTAAAAATTGTTCAATGCTCTCCTAAACTATGTCTTTCATTATTAAAGGTAACATTTTTTTCTTAAAAAATATTTTCTCCAAAACTAGATTTTTAAATAGTATCAGTTATATATTTCAGAAAATATGAGTAGATGCTTGTAATTTTGAGTGAAATCAAGACAATTGAAAAGCAATTCTGATATGTTTTACATTTTATACTTAAATAGAGCAAAGTTCACTTAATAATACATCATGTGTTTGATTTTCATTTAAACATGGAAGTTCAAAAATTCAATGTATTATAATCTTTTCGTAGGTTAAAAAGTTTGCGAAAGTTGAAATTTTTCTAATCTTTTGTACACCTTCAATAGTGACACTAGAGATGATTTTCTTAAGCCAATCTGTTTCACCATATTAGATCTTTAAAACATTTAATTACACAGTTTAAAAATATTAGTAGCTTTTGTGGAATTGTGAATTATAATGAGCAAGAATCACGGCAACATTAAGAATTCATCTTAACATTGTTGTGTAATGAAATATGATAATGAAATGTAAATAATATAATAGTGTAGTTAATAGATCATATGATCCTAAATTGCTGTTATGTCAATTCTAGCATTTGGGTTCAAATCTCAGCCTGGGTAAATTTTTGATTATTAATTTACTTTTTCTTTGTTAAAATTTTTAACATAATAATAATAATAATAGTGAACAATACATTCAAGTCAATGGCACAATGGCATTTTTATTGAAACTTTTGAATTTTCAATTCATAAAAGTCATGTAGTTTTTTGAACATCTCTTTGTCAGGTTGCTTAGGATTTTTTCAAGTAATGGCATAAAGGTAAATTGCATTGAAGTTGAAAAATTATAATACTATGTAACTTTTATAAATTACATGAAAAATGAATGTGCTGTTGTAGCACCACTCATTTCATTTAAAATCTTACTATAATAAAATTTCCTCTGGCTATTTTGTATTCATTTCCTTGGTGCTTCTTCTTTACAAAGCCTGAACTATTATCAGTGCCATAAATATCCTTTGGATGCAAACATCCATTTTATAAAAGTATTTGAGAACTATATAATGTGCCTTAAAAATAATGTCCTTCCCTCTTGGATCCACCTTATTCTTTGAATAAGGCATCCTGCTTAACTATCGCTTCTTAAAAATCATTCTGCAAAATGAAGTTTAAATTGAACTGTCCATCAGATTTCTAACAGCATGTGAATTTTCAGAAATTCAGAATTTTGCACATTTTAGTAAACATTAATTGATTAAAAGACTATCTCTTTGAAATATTGATAGAGAAATAAAAAAAAAAATTTACAAATATATCCATACAAAGACTGACCACAAAACAACACAGAACTTAGTCTTTAAAATGTTAGAAGAAGATAAAACGTTCTTTGCATTAAAATGTCTCCTTATTCCACTACAGTATTTTATATAATACATTCTACTTAAGTTCAAATGCATTTATCAATTCTCATAATTTTTATTCACGTTACTTATAATAAATTTGTTTTTACAAAAAGTAAGTGGGAAATGCATCAGGTGAATTGTAATTTTCAGAACTGCTATAAGTAGTTTTCAAGTTTTATAGCCTTAAGTATTTTTATTATTTTCTTGAATTAGTTTTAGTATTTACGTCATAACATTTCTTCCTTTGCAATATTTTCTTACAAAGTTAAACACTTTTTTGTAGAATAAAAAATATGTTTGTATTCTTCATATAAACAGGATTTAAATGTACACAAAATTAAAATAGCTAAAGCACTGATTAAATTTATTTACAGCCCAAAAGGTCATGATGAGATTTTGATACTTCCTTTGGAAGCAGCTTAATAATAATTATTACGAGTATTTTCTAAGGAATGTACACATGGTAACTAAGGAATGATTGTCTGAAGAATTACAGATTGTTGACTACATTTGTGTACTAAATAGAACTAAAGCTAGTAAGGACTCTGACACTAAAGAATAGAAAATTGGTGAATTGTGTGTTCAAGTAGCAAAAGAGATATTTTTGTGTGGAGATGTAGTAAATATTTATTTTTATCACATATGCATTTTGTACATTATACAGCATTTTGGTATATAAAGTTATCTATGTGTAAGATGAGCTAATGAGTTTTTATCTTAAATCTAAAATATTTAAAGAGCTGTTCTGAAACATAAATTTTATGTTTCTCTCATTGATATAAGATCTTCAGGGCGAAATTTTACATCTTAATAAAACAGAAAAAATATTTTGGCGTGATGTGTGCAATAAGGTACATGCAATGATAAATAAATCTTATGAACATTTAATAAACAATCAAATAAATTAAGAGTATTTAAGTGGAAACCTCATACATTTGCAGCAAATTGTTATGAAAATTTTACATGAAATTACATTCTGTGAGCAATTGTTCTGCTTTGTAGAACAATGCACATTGGAGGAATATTTGCAGTTTGAAATTGTCAGCAGTTATGTGAAGTTTTGCTAATCTTCACAAATATTCTTATCCGATGCATTTTTTCTGGGTAGCCAGAACACATATTTAATTAAATTTCTGCTTGACATATTTCTGAGAAATATTTTATGCAAAAATCTATCAAGAATTAAATAATGATTCAAAATATATTCTTTATACAGATGAAAATGTTTGGCATATTCTTTTACTGGAACTTGGGAAATTTCACTATAAATTGATATAATAGGATTTTGTCAGTGCAATAAGACAGTAACAAGTAGGTATTGTAAGTGTAGTGTATGAGACAGATGTATGATTAAATAACTTAACAATGTACAAGGCAGGAAAGTATTGCTGAAAATGGTGAATTCATCAGCTTTCAAGTGCCCACTAAATGAAGTGTGTTTGAACTAGAAACTGAGTGGAAGTTATAAATTACCCTGCATAAATGCATTTGACTAAAAAACAGTTCATCAATTATCACAGGTCCCTTAAATTAGGATGGCACTTAGTGTCATATCGTGTATGATAAACTACACAATTTGTTGTTTTAGCAGCACCAAATTGGTGTTGTTATATTTGGTCAGGTCTAGAGCAGCTGACGCTGCATTGCTCTTCGTCTGAGTATGCCATACCAATAACTGTAAAAAGAAAAGTTGTAGCGATTAGGACAAAGTTTTCAAAAGTAAATTATATACTTATAAATAATGTAATATATTAATAAACATCATCTATATATCAAACATTTTAAGAAGTGTTAAAATCTCCAACATTAATTACCTTGGTGCAATTCTGGGCTTTCAATTCAATTTCACTAGGCTCAAAAGGAGCTAGACTTTTGAGGAACCCATCCTCTTCGTACCCAGGTTTATATGGCATTGATGCTTTTGGTCTCTGTAAAAGTAATGCAAAATATGTTAGAACATATATTAATAACTTATTTTAAAATATAAAGAAGAAATTATGCCAATAACTGTAACTTAATATATCTATGATACCATAAAATCTCAGTTATTTATATTGAGTAACAAATGTTATTATTAGGAAATTGGTTAGATATAAAGATAAAAAATATTTAAATAATTCTTTACTTTTAAAAGGAACTCAACACTGACTGCAAAGCCAGCCATATCGACAGGAAATTTTCTGCCTGCCACCCAGCCATCATAAAATCCTTTAAATGTTCCATTCGCCACAATGGGTGTGCTCAGGCCAAACTTTGTACATAAGCCCACAGGCCACATTGCCACTTTCCTTGTCGTTCGTATCTGTAAAAATATTACAAAGAAAATTAATAAGAGTTAAAGAAACTATTTCACTACAAAAAATATTGACTAATAATTATGTTAGTGACGCAAGGGAGAGTAGCAGCAGCACTTGCAGCATGGAGTACAACTCATTTCCTGAGATAGCAAACGACATAGCGAGCATGTACACTATGATCATGGTGTATATCATTCCACCATGAGTATGATAATATGACTACAATCAGGAGTGCCGATAAGATATTTCGAGCCTCAGGGAAAATGAGATGTGTGCACTCCCCATATAATGTTCAGAAATATTTTGCTGAAGTAAAACATGATTCCGCCAGTATATATAAATACTGGCGGAAAAAAAGGATTGTAACACCGGGAAGGGCACGGGCATTCAAGTAGGCGATAAGGGACGTTAGGCTTGGGGTCGCACAAGCTGTGATTAACATTTCACGGCTGACTGACGCCTGGTAATTGTAATTGTAGCATGACGAAATGGCCGGGACGCACCATCTACCCCGCTGCTTTAAAAAGCGCTGTTCACTGCGATAAGGTCTAGTCGGGACTTGGGTATGCCACGGCGTCGCTCTCAATCAGCAATTGGACCAGATTGAGCGGGATCGGATAGTCGGGCTGCGCGATGCCGGATTGCCCTTTCAGCGCATTGCTGACCACGTGGGCCGTGATGCGACGTCGGTGCTGCGGTGCTGGCGACGATGGGTAGACGAGCATTCCCATAACCGTACACCCACTTCGGGGAGACCGCGGAGCATTGACGAACGACCAAGTCAAGCGAGAGATGTCCGGGCGGCGTTGGCAGACCGTACGGCAACCCGCGCCCAGATGGATGCAGACATGCGGCTCCCAAGCTTCCTCCAAGAGCAGTTGGGAACTGGTTACCTGCTGCAGGATTACAATCGCGTATACCGCTAGCCCGACTGCACTTGCACCGAACCGTCGTCGTCACGTCTGGCGCGGTGCAATGTGCGGGTCAGCTGGGAGACGGAATGGCGTGTAGTGTATTCAGTGATAAGAGCCGCTTCTGCCTGCACGGCGGTGATGGTCGTGTGCGTGAGTGGTGTCGCGCAGGCGAGCGCGTGCGTTCGGCGTGTGTTCGTCCACGTCACGTGGGGTGTTCGTGAACTGTCCTGTCCGTCACGCTCGTTGGATTTGTAACCGATCGAGCATGTATGTGACCCCCTAACAACTGCCTGCCATGCGCGAGGCGGTGCAGGAGGCGTGGAACAGTACACCCAGGACACTATTCGCCACGTGTACGATGGGATGCCAGCCCGCATCAAGGCTTGTCGTACTGCCCACGCAGGTTCGCGCATTATTGATGTGTCGTTTCCGGTTCATGATTCTCTCTGTTGCTAGACGTGCGAGTCTCACATGGCTCTGCCCATGTAATCTTGGATACTATTCTGTCTGTATGTGCTGTATCTGTACGGATGAATAAATTGTACCATTATTTAATTGGCTGTCCGTGTGACATGGTTCAAGACAAAGGAGCTGCGTAACGGACGCATGGACGCGTCGTCATTCGGACAGCCAATTAAATACTGACTCCGGCCGAGGATGCCTACGCTCTCAAATTGTACCATGCAATCGTGGTTGCAAAAGGTTTTTCCACCTTCCATCACTCTGTTGTTTTGTTAATAATGTGATCAGTACCAATAACCCAAAATAAAATAATGTTTATTATAAAAAATGTCAAAAAAATACGAAAATTGAGACCCCACGAGGTATGCGCCCTTGGCGTTCGCCTACTTTGCCCACAGATACTGCCCACCCTGATTACAACTGTTTCTTATCGGAACTTAATTTAAAGAAACATGCCTAGATAATGAGTTTATATTTAAATTAGTGAGTTTCATTAGTTCATGTTGATATTTTATGTGATATTTAAATGATTTATTTGTTTTATAATAATTGATTTTAGATGATCTACGGATGGTCGTAAACACTGTACAGGTAACGCTCCAGAGAATACGCAATTTGCAAATGGCATTCAAAGCTCCTAAATACGGTATCTAGGGACTATTAATAGCATGGATACACATGTCACTCCTCCAGTCATAATAGACGAGGTACTTGCCTGATTAGTAAGTTTGTATCTTTTTTAAATGTGTATGATTAGTTTGTATTCAAATTGCTAATTTTAAAATTGTCACATCAAATTTGTCTTTCCTCGCAAGAAAACAACCGTAACCAACTATTTTTTTCCTCGTATTTACTCACAAAATATACTGACGTGACAGAAGTCGCAGGATATTTCCTAATATCGTGTCGGACCTCCTTTTGCGAAATGAAGCAATTCGACATGGCATGGACTCAAGTTGTTGGAAGTGCCTTATATATCATATTGAGCTATTCAATCTCTATAACCGTGCAGGAAAAAGTGTTGCTGCTGCATTTCGGCGCTAGGTCTCAACATTCGGCGGGGAAGATCACCACCACTTCCCACGATAAAACAGGCACTTCACTAACGGGACTAACGATCATAGCAGATGACGCGCCCGGAATTACTAATAATCAATCATGTTGTTTGGAACACGCTGATAGTGTTTTTCGCCTCGTCTGGGACACCTGCATTATGCGTTATCTATGTGATAACTTTATTATATTATAATTATGTGATCATTGAAAGTTGTGTGTGTTATTTTCTAAATGTATGATACGAGGTTCAAATTTGTTTACAAAAGAATGTCGGATAGGAAATCCTTGGGGATGCGTTAGAACTAGCGATCGCAAGTGCATGAGGAGTTGCCAAACAATCAGGGGAAAACGACACATTCGTGTAGAGAGGGGCAAATAATGTGCGTCCATTCTAGGGTAAAAGTCCACTCATAGCTATATGACATGTTAAAGTCGATAGATGAAATTTGCTACATACATGAATTTTCTAACATATATTCTGAGTCGTTCTACATATATATACATATATATA